CTTTGTCTACAAACCGTCCCTCTTACCTCCTTAAGGGATGGCTCTTTCAAAAGGGCCCCCTGGCTAGATCTTAACTGCCGGGTAGGTTCATATGGAAGGAACTTGCTCCAATTTGTAAGCAACTTTCTTTAAGTGTGGTGTCCTGAACTGGACGCAGTACTCAAGGTGAGGCCTAACCAGTGCCGAAAAAAAGGAGGACGAGTACCTCATGGGATTTGGAGACTATACTTCCGTTCATGGAGACTAAAATAGCATTAGCCTTTTTTGTAGCCACTAAAGAAATTAAAAAAATTAATCACCAAATTTGTTCAAAAAATCACTAATGCGTCAATTCCTGTTTGTACGAATCAATGCCCCCTGACAAATACAAATCAATCAATTCTTAGCGATTTTTCATTTTTCAATTTGTTGGGCTACAAAACAGCCCCCACTCAGGCACCTGGAGATCCCAAAATTGCAGGGAAGCTTCCTATGACTCTCCTCTACAATCCCTCCAAATAGGTGAAGATTGGAATGATATTCTTTCATACCGTGGTTGTCCCTGCATTGAGCAGGGGGTTGGTCTCGTTGGCCTTATAAGCCCTTTCCAAATCAGTTATTCGATGACTATATGATTTAATTATTCTCCTATTCTGTAGCCTGGGAAGAACAGACTTCTCGTGTAAGAATCTCAAGCTAATGCAGAAGGAATGCTTTGACTACTTTATTAAGAAGTTGATGCCCTCTGAAATGCAAACTGATGCACTGAAAAATAATAGCAAAATAAGTCTTTGACCAACACTTTTATTTTGATTGTTTTCTTAATGTATTTCTCAGTCATCTGTGAATACTGCTGCCATTTCAAGATGGTGTATACAAACAAAAACCAACATACACTTTGAAAGACAGAAGCATTTGCTTCCACAAACTATCATTTAGAATAATGCAAACCTTCTGTAGTAAAATACAGATTGAAACATACCCAGGATCTTAATGTTTCAGTGAATACACAAAGAGAAATGTGTGCAATAAAGCCATGCAATTAAATGCCACAGAGAACAAAGAGGGTGAAGAGTTCTGTTAAAAGTCCTTGCTGATGACGTTAGCCATGTATCTCCTTTTGGACAACTTTTAATCCCCTCTTCTGTCTAACAAACCTCTTTCAGTCCATGTGGTGTATTGGTTGGAATTTTGGACTCAGATGGGAGATCCATATTCTAGTCCTACTCCACCATGATCACTCCCTGACAACTTTATCTACTCCATAGGGTTGTTGTGAGGATGAGGAATGGAGTTAAGTGCGTTGATAAGGATCAGGTGTTTTTATCATGGGCTGCCTGTGATATCAGTCACCATTCTTCCTTCCAGTTGTGACAGCTGTTGGACCATTATCCTCAATGAATGTTGTTCTTTAGTCGTTTGGTCACGTCCGAATCTTCGTGACCCCATGGACCAGAGCACGCCAGGCCCTCCTGTCTTCCACTGCCTCCCGGAGTTGGGTCAAAATCATGTTGGTCACTTCGATGACCCTGTCCAACCATCTTGTCCTATGTCGTCCCCTTCTCCTCTTACCCTCACACTTTCCCAACATCAGAGTGTTTTCCAGGGAGTCTTCTCTTCACCTGAGATGGCCAAAGTATTGGAGCCTCAGCTTCAGGATCTGTCCTTCCATTGAGCACTCAGGGTTGATTTCCTTCAGAATGGATAGGTGAAGCCAACAATAGGTGAAGCCAAAGACTTGAGTCCTGTAAAAATCAAGCAGTGATCATAAATTAAAATGGAGAGAGAGAGAGAGAGCGAGAGCGCACATATATACTATATTAGGGATCTGTTTCTGACTCCTGTCCTCTGAAGATGCCATATATACTATTTTAGGGATCTGTTTCTGACTGTCCTCTGAAGATGCCAGCCACAGAGACTGGCTAAATGTTAGGAAGAATAACCTTCAGAACACGGCCTTGCTGCTGAAAAACCCACAACATCCAACAATCTGTTTCTCGCTCAGAAATTATTCAGAATCTGAAGGGAATCAAGGGTATTTGTCAATTTCTGAACTGATGTGACCCGAAATGAGAGAGTTGGAAGTGGTGCTTGAATGAAAACTGAACTCTCCAAAGCACTGAATATTGCTTTGGTGTTTTAATTAGAAAAGCTGACCAATTTAAAAGGTATATGAGAAGAATGAAGGTGATCATTAAAGTCTTTTTAAACTTTAAAACCCACGTGTTAATGTTTGGCCATAGAAACTTGCTGGGAGAGTAGAACAGGCAAAAAAGAAAACCCTCCTAAAATATCTCACTGACCGTGAAAGCCCTATTAGGGTTGCTATAAGGTGGTTCTGACTTAACAGCACAGAACGCACATCTAGCATTGTTTTAGAATAAGGTGCCATC